GCACCCAACCCTTCCCCTTTGTCATCCTGGACTTCGGATGAGGGTAAAGGCGGAGGTTGGCATGTTTGGTGTGACGGGGATTCGAAGCCGCGACCCACGGATTGCGAGTCGAGTACCCTAACCACCTGGCCATGCCGGGCCAGGGGGTGCAAATGATCCCTTGGAGTGGATAAACGATTAGGGTAGAGTCAATAATACAATAATGTAAACTTAAGCATTTTAATATTATTTTTTATTAATGAAAATAATAAGTAATTACTACAACACATATAACATTTTGATGTGTATCCATCTGTTACATCTCTTCACTTAACTCACTTCTTCACTCATTTCAAATAAATAAAGAGGGGGTGCGCAAGAAATCATATTAAAGAGAAGGCGCGGCTGACAAAAGTTTAGGAAAAGATGTCTTAAACCTATTATGACTGTAAATTTTAAACATACAATTTCTTGTCCAAATAAATAATTATTCAGACATACACTGATACTCAAAAGATTTTTATATATTTTTACTACTAAATAAAAATCAAATGATAACATTATCAATAATTAATATTTCTGATGGTACAATACGACAATCTAAAAACCTTGTATACTATACAACATTAATTCTGACAGCGACTGTACTAAGACTATTCAAAAAACGTCTATGTTATCCCAACAAACTCCACAATTTCAATAATACACCAGAACTCTTCACCATCAGATCAACTTCCTACCCCTAACAGAATAGTGCAACAACCCACTAATGTTTCAAACCGTAACTTTCAATTTCATACTTTCATATACAGCAAAATGATTCCAAAAGAATATTCTTTCCCATTCTATTTTTTATGGCAGTTCTTCAAATAGCAGAAAATGGAATTTTTCACACATTTTTAAACAATGATAGAAATTGTTTTTATTCATTGAAGCTTCTTAAATTCTGAATAGTTAAATGTAATAATAATAATTGATTAAACGACTGGAAAGAAAATGCCAAAAGTGGTAAATACCCTCTTAATTAACTACTGCAGTAATTAAAAGTTCATGCTTTTCATTTAACAGAAAATCGTGAGAACATGTAAGGGCATGTCTCCAAAACTTTCTTGACTTAGTGAATCAAGAAGCTTCTGAAGTAGTTTTCAGTGTGTATCATTGCATCACTGTAAAGGATTAATTAACTATCATGTGGCAAATATTCGTCTTAAAAGTCCTAGAATTGTACATTTCACGTGCACAGCACACTAGCAGTGTTTGTCAACACATACGGAGTAGAGGCATAGCTAGGCACAACTTTGACTTATATTAGGGGAAGGGTATGGAAGTATTGTTTGTTTGTTTTGAATTTCACGCAAAGCTAAACGAGGGCTATCTGCGCTAGCTGTCCCTAATTTAGCAGGGTAAGACTGGAGGGAAGGCAGCACCACCCACCGCCAACTCTTGGGCTACTCTTTTACCAACAAATAGTGGGATTGACCGTCACATTATAATGCCCCCACGGCTGAAAGAGCAAGCATG